GCCGAGATGACTGTACACCTCTCTCGTTTGTTGAAAAAGAACGAGAGGTGGTTATGGAACGCTGAATGTCAACGCTCCTTTGAGGGTATCAAGCAGAGCTTGATACAATCCCCAGTCCTAGCAATAGCCGATCAGGACAGGCCATTTCATGTGGTCTGTGATGCCAGCGATTTCGCAATCGGCTGTGCATTAATGCAGTACGACCTTGAAGGCGTTGAACGCGTCGTCTGCTATCAGTCGCGTCAGCTGCAACCAGCTGAGCGGAACTATCCAGTGCATGACAAGGAACTCCTTGCCATGAAGTATGCACTCGCGAAGTTCAGAGTCTATCTATTAGGAGATAGACCCTTCGTTGTTTACACTGACCATGCGTCCTTACGCACGGCAGTGAACAGCCCGCACCTTTCACAACGAATGGCGCGGTGGTTGTCATTCTTTGCAGAATACAACTTTACGGTCGAGTACAAACCAGGACGACTTAATGTCGTCGCTGATGCACTCTCACGTCGTCCCGACTTTGAAACAGTCGCGAAACCCAACAGTGAGACAGTCACTGTTGCGGTTATGACGTCCTCAGTTCCATCTACAACGTTGTATGATGATGTGAGGCGGGCATACGCCCAAGATGGTGAGATAGTGAAGTTGTTGTCACATCTCTCCCAACCATCTCGAGAATCGTTGAAACGATTGTCGTCTGCGTATCGATCTGCATCAGATCGATACACTACTCGTAACGGTTTACTGTACTATACAGCCGTTTCTGGTGACACACCACGTGTTGTCATTCCAGATGATACTGATCTGCGTTTGCGGATCATGTTCGAGTATCACGATGCTCCTATAGGAGGACATCGTGGCCGGGAGAAAACATATCTCACGGTAAGTCGAGACTTTTACTGGCCCCGCCAGTATCAGTTTGTGCGAAAGTATGTTCGCGCATGCGAAGTCTGCCAACGAGTGAAGTCAAGTCCTTCACTGCGTGCACCTTTACAGCCTCTACCGGTTCCGGCTGAGTGCTGGGAATCCATCTCAATGGATTTCGTCTTCGGGTTACCCAAAGACGCACGCGGGAATACGGGTATTCTCGTATTTGTTGACAGATTCAGCAAAATGGTACACCTTGTGGCTGTACCAGAGACAATCACGGCAAGTGGCTGTGCTTGTGTCTTTATTGACACCATCTTCCGACTTCATGGGTTGCCCCGTGAACTCGTATCAGACAGAGATCCACGATTCACTGCTGATTTCTGGCGTTCCGTGTTCAAATCACTCGGAACGCGCTTGAAGATGTCAACATCTGATCATCCAGAGTCAGATGGTCAGACGGAACGTGCCAATCGTGTCCTTGAAGAGATACTTCGAGGATACGTACACTCCTTTAAGAGTTGGAGTGAGTTTTTGCCGATGGTAGAGTTTGCCATCAACAACTCGGTGCATGCGTCCACGACACATACACCGTTTTACGTGAATGGCTTGCGCCATCCGCGTGTACCCACCTTACTAGAGTGTAACTCTGGTTTAAGGGGGGAGGGACTCGCGCGAGCAAAAACCGATTTGGTTCACGCTCATCACGCTCTGACGAAGAAGTCATTGCGTTTGATGCCGATATCGATAACATCGATATCGAAGAAGATGATGCCAGTGAGAGTGCGGAAGCCCTCACTGAAGACAATGATCCCAGTGAGAGTGCGGAAGCCCTCACTGAAGAAAAGGTTGTTGTCGCTGCAGTGCGCTCACAGCACACTGAAGCTAACGAGTCATCAGATGAGTTCATACTGGCTCGTGAAACGGTAGTCCGTTTTGTGCAAGACTCCATCGCCGAAGCGGTGGATAAGCAAAAGCAAAACGCTGACAAGAATGGAAGGGCAAACACTCTTTTATTTAATAAGGGTGACTTAGTCCTACTGTCTACGGTTAATCTACCAAAACATGTAGTGACTAACTTGGGTAGCAGTAAACTACTACCCAAGTACATTGGCCCATTTCGTGTATTGCACCGCCTAGGCAATGCATACACGATCGAGTTACCACGTAAGATGCGAACGCATCCCACGTTTTACGTTGGTCGGCTTAAGCCGTACCATCAGTACGCTGCTTCTTCCGATGAAGAACGCCCTTGCGCTCAAGCATCTCGCAGAGAGCCTTGTGCTCCCGATGGTGGGCATCAACAAGGGTCTGAAGAGCAGTTATCTCAGCCCGAGACCGATCAACAATCCCACGAGCTACCCTTAGCTCGTCACGAAGAGATGTCAGAGATCTCTCGTTCTCAAGCTGAGCAAAGGCAAACTCAGCTCGATGCTTCGAGGCAGTGTCCACCATCTGGAGACGCCTATTCCGCTCATGCTCGAGATCGTCGCGTAACCCTTGCGTTACGCGATCAAAGAAGCTCTCGGGAACACACCGATCCACATGATCGTGTGGAGAGCGTCTTTCCTCCTCCTCCACCTCCATTAGAGGACTCTCGCGGTGGCCAGCGCTATCTAGTAGAGCAGCTGTTGAACCACCGCGACGTGAACGGACGTCGGACGAGTTACCTCGTCCGGTGGCGCGGCTATCCCCCCGCCTGGGATTCTTGGGAGCCCCGCTCCCAATTGATGGTTGACGTACTGGGTCTGGTCGAGCAGTACGACGCGACACATCCTGTGCCGCAGAAGGACCGCCGGAGAAAGTCTTCCCGGCACGGTCGTAAAGGGATTTCAGGTTGTCAATCCCTTCGTACATCTCAGTAGAGACACGTACGCGCCACCACGGGCTGGTAAGGAGGTAATCCTCCTTAGGTGCTCGTGCAGAGTTGTTCACACAACATGGGCACGAGTCTCCCCAAGAGAGGCAGGGTAATCCTTTCTCCCTTGACAGACGATGCAGCTTATAGCGTGCACCTGTCGGGGTTCGCTTTTCAAACTTATCACGAGCTTTGATAAGTTTGTCGTTCCAAGCGTCACGACCTACATCCTCGAGATTATGGATGTAGGCGTTCCACGCCTGAAGTAGTGAGGGACCATCACGTTTGTGATTCCCACTGTACCATCGATGTCTGAAGAAAGCATCGATGAAGAACTCATGTTCAGCGCGATAGTCTTTCGCGCTGGGGTCAAGGTGATGAATCCTCGACGAATCGAACAATCGTGTTCGATAACGATCACTCGTGGTCGCCGACAAGTGATCCATGACAGATTTAGGAGGCATCCATGCCTTCTTTTCTGGAGCGAGACGCAACACATTGCGGTCCCGCTCTTCCTGCGACGTGCCGACAGAAGTACTGGCACCTCGCTGTGAAGTGGTGTCCATTGGAGAAACGACACCACTATTAGCGCCCGAGTCTCGCGACCTCGAGCGCCTTCGCTTCGGCGATGGTTCATCTGACTCATCAGATGAACCAAAGATGCTGCGACGCAAAGCATCGTCCATGCCACGCTTGGCAGGCGGCTTGGATTCAATTGCCGTCGATACGGATCCGTCATCCGTATCAGGAGAGTACGAGACACCGAGCTCGTACTCTGTGAAGACACGAGTGTCTTCATGACCAGCGCCTGCATCACCAGGTGATACAGGCTGAGTCGATTCAGCAACCGATGGGACATCAGTTGCTGTAGTTTCTGCTTCGGCGTCCGCACAGAGACGTGCAGACGCGCTCTCGGCGGCCTTGCTCGCGCATCGCATGGGCTTGTTTACCATGCGATGAGATGTTGGAAAGTGGACGCGGACCAACAAGTGCAAACCCCGTCCCAAATGATTTGGGACGAGTATCCATTTAGTCAATCAGTCACTAAAGTGACTGATGGTTAAGGGGGGTGATGTAACGGGGTGAATCGTTACATAACAATTTATAAGAAATTGTTAATAGAATATAACTATAAGAGTTATATTCTCAGAATATTGTCATAAGGACAATATTCTGTAGCACTTCCAAGTAGTTCCTAATTGGTTGATATAGGCCATTATATCAACCAACGAAGACGCGCCACGACAGACGCACGCAATGAGTGGTGAGCAGATAACTGATTTACACATTTGTATTTAGACATAGTTAGATGAAGATAAATAGTGATTTATTGCAGACATTAACTATTATAAATACAGTTCTACTTTTTACTCTAACCAAGTACTCGCTTCTTCTTACCGTCTTCCTCTGCACGTACGAGTGTACGTGAAGTTACGAGGCACCGCCTTATTCTGTTATCAGAATAAGTAGCTTGTACTGTCACCAGTACAAGCTTCAGGGTGCCCCGTTACAGAGTAGATGCTACAATTCTTTAGAATTACACTTTTCCATTCCTACCACAGGTTTGTTGTTGTTTCATTCCTCAAAACCTGGGCCAGTCTAGGAAGCAGGAACGAGGTGGTAGCGTATCGTCAGAACGTAAAGGCCAACAAAATTGCACTGAGGCAATAGAGCTATTAGTCCGGGCACAAGAGCCTGCACCGCATCGACACTAAATCATTACGTTTAGAAGCTACCACCTTTTACAGTTGTTATCAGGGTGTCGAGATAGGATGGTAGGGTTTTGATTGCATATGGAACTCGTACGCTCCTTGCACACTCGATGGTGCTTTTAGGGGCAATTGTTCAGTCAAGTGTCGGTCGTAGACGAGCTTGACGAGTACTGAGTCTCAGGAACTACCACCAGGCAATCGTCGAATCCACAATTGCGCTCAACGACTCGGTATACCCAAGTACCATCGTCACAGATCTTGATGTCCCACGCGCATGCCTGCAGTTATGGATGAGCCCAACAATTCAACAGTTCTTTTCCATTTGATTTACGTACCTGCGGGTCGTCGTCTGGCAGTGCAACGGAGTGTCTGGCTGAAGCGATACAGTAGGAAATAGTCATTACTCCGGATACGATCAGCTGCACACAGACATGAGCCGATAACATACTTCAATGCCACCTTCTGTACTTGTCGATGATAGAAAAGACGACAGCGAAATAAGACTTGAACATCGAAGTAAACATCGGGTGCATGACATTCATTGATACCATATACTCTGATGTCGTCTACGTGGAACAGCTGTCTACCAACTGACCAACTGACAGCAGCTCAGAGTCTCCACGCAGTTGCCGCACAAGCGGCGAAATATCACGTTCATCAGCGCATTGCTGCTCCACCAATTGCAGAAGCTGCTCCACGCGATCTTGGTGACGCCTGAATGCGCCTGCCAGATTTGAACTCCGCACAAGCGCTTGTAGCACACGCAGATGACAAGTCAAAACAAGGCAGGACTGTTCCACCGCCAGCAACTCATCTAAAAATCTCGCAAAAATGGTAATCTCTCCGAGAGCCAGAGTCGATATGCACGTTAACACAAGTAACCGCTCTTGTTGTCGAGAATCATTTTCGTCCGACACTGTCGACTGCTCGGTTGTCAACGACGCATAGTACTTTTCCAAAACTTTGACACTCAAGCTTACCAGCTCTCGCTCCATCTCCGCGGGAATCTCAGTGCGCTGCTGAAGAGACTCGGCACCATGTGTGATAGCAGAGGATAAGCACGCGCGATATAGCAATACCGATGTGTGCAGTTCTATCGAGGTCATTCCCTCGCGACTTTGAGCTTTCGCCAACGTTGGCGCCAAAATTTTCGGCAGTAAATTCCCCAACTTCATCGCAACAAACGTGCGACACACATGATCAACAAGCTGTAGTTGCTGTTGCTGAATTTGAGGATTTGCATCAACCGGCGCAAGCGCTGTGCTGACGAAAAAGCTCACAATGTGGGCAAGATCCACAGCTTCGCGCCGCTGGAACAATATGTCTACAAGAAAGCTTTTCGCCTCATTGTAGATACGTGGACTCTTGCAACAGCTTGCAAGCGCGCGCAGTAGATGCACAGGATACCGAGGTAAGTGATAAAGAATGGCCGCGAAAGCTAGCTGGTCTGCCGCACCCAAAGCGTCGAAGCGCGTCCTAGCTAGCATCCTTTGATGCCCGTCTTCCGGCACTGACGAAGAAGGCACTGCTGCCAAGTTGAAAAAATTCGAGAGGTTCGTTAACACGCCGTCCATCTGATCACCGCTCGCGAAATCAGCAGGGAGCTGCTTAAGAACAGAAATTAACGCACGCAAACTGCGTCTGCCAAGTTCCATGTGCTGCAAATCAAGTTGACTAAGAAGCTCGGCAAGGCAGACCACCCACTGCATTACCATAGGCCACTCTAGTTTTTGTCTCCGTCGCTGTTGACCACGCAGCGCAATATCCAACTGCTTTATAACAAATGCCGTGCAGGTGCGAAAACTCACCGACGTTGGCGTGCAAAGCACATAGAACTGAGTCACCGCATCCAGTATGCGAGTCTGCTCGCCATCCGTCGTCATTCCAACGTCCAAAGGATCTTCAAGCTGTGAAAATGAGAGCAAAACAAGCTCAACGACCTCCAACAGAGGCCGAAGTACATTCTGCATACTGGCGACAGCGCGAAGTTCGGCCGTCTCCTTGTACTTGACTAAAGTTGTGGTCACGTACGTGCATACACGATGCTTTAATGTCTCCCCCGGTGGTGCACTCTTGTCAGAATCACGCATCAAGGCGGGAAGACGAAGAAACTCACACGCTAACTTTGCAAGCGAGACGTTCAAACCATGCCATCGCGAAAGTGCTCCTGAGCCGTCTGAAGTGACAGAAAGGGCTGCACTCGCACTCGGTAGCATCGGAAAGCTCTCCGGTGCGAGAAGTTGCTCGCGCAGCTTCAACGTTATTTGGAAAAACTCGGCGTTTTCTGATACATCCGCATCCACATCCAGCAAGCTCGTATTGGCACTAACCACAGCCGTCGTGCACTCCACGATATACGTCATGTGCTCCACGTGCACGTCCGACAGCGCGTCGCTACTCCCATCTAGACACTCAAGCCACAACTCCAACAGAGCCGGTAACAAAGTGCGCGCCTTCTCTTGCCACGACGCACAACCTGTCTTCCCGGCAGCGTTTGTCATCAATGACGCAGCAGTAGCAGCGGCAAGCATGCCTGGCGCAACTAGTTGCGGGGTCGGGTACAACAACAGCGTCTTGATCATTGGCACCTCCGCAGTCGACTGTGCACTCTGTGTTGTCTCCTTTATCCTGTTGCTTCTCCGTTCTGCGCCAACCGCCAGTAGCACTTTATGCAGTACCTTGAGCGCCACAAAGCGCAGCGCCAATGCACCGGACGGTCCATCAGCTTTCTTGCAACTCTTCACTTTCTGACGTCCGTCCGCTCGCTTATTGTGACCGCGACTACCACTTGGCTCTGAGGCCACGACCAACACGTCGTAAGTATTTTTCATCCGGATCCCTTGTGTCTGCGCAGCGCCAATCAAGTCTCGAAAGTTGTCCAGCAGTCTGCTTCGAGCTTCTCGTCCAGCATCTAGTTGCAGCAGCTCGGGCGCAATATTTACGAGCTCGTTTATGGCTTTCAGTGCATCTTGCCGCACCCCGACCTGCAAATGCGTCAGGCCACTGCAAAGGTACGTGACCACGAGCGTCGCGAACGGTTTCAAGGCACTGGACAGCACCGACAGCATCGCTTTCCACGCCTGCACTGCCGCGTCCCGCACGACGCCTTCTTCGTCCAAGAGCGCAGGCAAAAAGCGCTCTAGCAGCACCGACGCATTGGCCCGAAGGTTCCTGGCCGTATCTTGGGTCGCCAGTTCCTTCAGTCCCTGCAACGCACGCTGCCGCATGTGCGCATTGTAATGTCCAATCTGTTGCAGCAGCTCCGGCAGAGCCTGGCGTCGGTGCGTCAACTGGGCGGCATTCGTCTTGTCTTGTAGCAGCGACTGCTCGAGCAAATTGATGCGACGCGAGGTGATGCCGACAGACGTGACGTTGGCTGCGGGGGCGGCGCGTCGACCGACTTTACGCTTGGGCCGCTTGAAGTCCGCGGGCTTTTTCTTGGGCTTCGAGGTGGTCGCCGCACGAACCATTTGTGATACGTGATGGTCAAGTGACGGATGGTGGGAAGGGAGGATGGTGGTGGAAAATCAGCGAGAACACGCTGATTGGGTGAAATGAACGTTTGTCGGGCACGGATTGGGGAAAATGAGGGGGAAGGACGATGTGAGCGGCTGGACACTTACTTGAGAACAGTTCGATGTACCGAAACGGGTCTTTATTCTGCTTTGCGCCGTCACTAAGTAAACGAAATTGACGCCGGCGGCTTCGGGGCAACAGTATATCCAACATAATGCCGTATACCGAAGTGCATACTGATCGATAGACGATCGTATACCGAAGTGCATACTGATCGATAGACGATCACACTGACGTCTGTGGATAAGTGTGGTTGCTCAAGTATGTCGCGAAAATTAAGGCGTGCAATGGTTACTAGGACAGTGGCACCAAACTCTGGGAGAAGGAGTTTAGACCCGGCAAATTGATGTGCGCAAACGACTCTCGTCGTGCTCTACATGTACCAAATTCTTTAAACGTGAGGTTGCCAACACGTTAACTGCGCTGAAATTGACGCCAGACTTGAGTACAACATAGTTTATCACGAACCGCTCGGTGAGCAACAGCAGCGAATGCTCGAAGAGGAGAAGGATCGCAAGCGTTGATGAGGGAGCATGACCACACTCCGTGGCGACACAAACTACCTATTTACGCCAACTGGTGTGAAAGAAGATTCTGGCAGGTGATAGGCGGTGTTAGTGGGGTGGCGCATCAACTCTGATGCCACTACGCCTGACGATATCGCCCGCAACAGGCTCTACTCGAAGGTTATCTTGATCCCCCCATCAAGGTACAGAGTCTATTAAAAAAGCTTAAGGCACGGATATTGCAATAATACGAGGTGTTTCAGTGCTTGCCATTAAATTTGTGCTCTAATCTTCTTTATAGCGAGAGAGGCGGTCATAGAGGAGGACAACTGTAGGGCGACACTAAAAGATAACACGCAAAATCTTGATCCACACCACCAGTGTAACGGGATTACACGCGGTTATTCGAACCGGTTATGTTGTGTGTCTACATCAAGTAAAGAATGGTGGATCTGAGTGGCACAGTCGTGGTACCACGTACTTACGGTAATACCGTACCTTATCGGGTAGGGATAACGGATAAGAATTATATCATAGGATCACAACGTAGAAGTCAGTCAGACAAGGTGTTAGGGTTTTACTATCGTAGCTAAAGGATAAATAAACTGCAGTTCCCCTTTTGAACCGTTGGACACAAGTGCCTAGTAAAGGCGTAGTGTGTCGTTAAGAGCATTAGCCTTGTAAAGGCGCTTACTCTTGTTTAACTAGCAGTGACTAGTAGCGTGTGATTCTGTGAATCGTAGTCCGTTCGGAACCGGTATATTGTTAAGCCTGTGCGCTTGAACGACTGTACGTCATTGTAAGTTTGTTATAACTAAGATACTCTTTGAGTCCAATACTTCCTCTGCTAAGGAGCGCTAAGTAGCTATGCTACAACAGAGACGTCTTAGAATAGATCGTGTCTAAAAATTGAGCAAAAGGGGAACTGAATATGTTTACTGATTTAAAGCGATTACAAACCTTACTTACGTTTTCAACCTTTAAACTATGCTACATAATCATGTAGTCTTCGTGGAGATTCTACTTGTGTACCACACCAGAACTACGTCGCCTCTATGAAGACCCTATTACAATAGATCTCCTCAAACCATTACCGATAGGGTACGGTATTATTGCTTTGCATATGTGATACAGTAGTATGCCTTATTAGTGACGCTGATCTCTCTCTTGTAAGTACCACACCAATGTACCTGGTTATCAAAACCACTTGTGACGGCCGGTTGCGCTATCGCCTTTTTTGTAATCTAAAACTGCACGTACAGGGGAATTAATATGATCACACCTTCATTTTTTAAAATTCGCACTCCCCGTCAAACATAGTATCTAAACTTTTCCTCTCAAAATAATGTCCACACCCTATTGCCATTACTTTTTCTCGTAATGTTTCTGTGACAGGGAAACGCGACAGCAACCGCCATAAATGGACATAAATTGTATATGTGATATGCTATCTCGAGTTTTATCTGTAACAATTGATGTAGACGATGACCTCAGTCATCCGTTGATGATGAATTGATGTGCCATCCCTTAATCTTCAAATAGACTGATGATTGCTTTGCGAATGAATTTAACCTTACCATTAGGTAGTTAATTGAGGTTTATTATAGATAAAACTAAGAAGCAAAATGCCAGTTGCCCTTATGATCTTAGATGGACACGTGTCGATTACAGACGTCAGTAGATCACTACGAGTAAGAGCCAGCTTGAGGCGTATGCTCGAGCGCACATTGTGCGTACGATTTATATAGTTGTTGTTAGTCCCCTGAACCATGACTAGAAGCTCTACGAGAGCATAAAGACATTCCAAGTATCTGTTGATTAGTTCTAAGAACTAATGACTCTTCAAACAAATAGTCACTTAGTTCCGTAAAGCTGGGTGACTTCTAGAGTCGTAAGTCTTCCTCGGACTGAGAGACGTGTAGCTCCATTAAAGTTTAACTACATATAACAATTCAGAGTATCTATAATATATTCGGACCTTCATTCCACACATTTCTCCGATTTTGTGTTGCTCTTCACAGAAGTGCACGTTTGAGGACTATATGAGATGTATACAGTAATCATAGCTATAATACAATATACGGAATGATGCAGAAATGCATGATTGCCTGTTTGTGTAAAATTACAAGGGATGTTCATTGGCAGATAAAAAAACGTCAATGTCAAGATGACTGCCATGCAGTCTTCTGATTGATAGTATACACAATATACAATGTTTCTGTAGTTTGAGCTTCTGAACCATATCAATAGAATAATTCCATTACTACAAATGTTATGAATACTCTCCTCGTCCTCCTTAACAGTCTGTCCGGTACCCCTTTTTACCTTCGCAGTCAGTCTAGACTAGAAATTGTAAAACACGTTATCGATAGTTTAGATTTGGACGGCCAAAGTAGTTGGAACACCATTGCTACTCTCATAACGCCTAAAAATTGTGATCAGCTTGGGAAGATCTCGTGGTGAGGCCGCGGAACAAACGCGCGATCGATGTCTCGTTTGAATGCATCTAAAACTTAATAAAAGCGATGCAGTTGCGAGAATGTAATCACACAAGCTCATTGCTTACTTTCGATGATTGCACGCTCTATTTGTAGGCAAAACGTGAGCGTTTAGATGGCAGGCAGCTCGTAAGATGCAACCGTGTGAATGGTATGCTATCGGTCTCTCATTCGGTGCAGAGTATTCGTTATAAATAGGAATGGTCGACCAACAAAGCAGTAGCGTATACATGCTAAACCGGAGTCAACAGGAAAAGTTTAGTCGGCTACTAATACAGATACGAGTCTGCAAACTGAGATACGTTTCCTTCGATTAAGATCGGGGAGCAAGCTATGGATCTCGGTCTTTGATATGGGTGATCCAGTTCGAGGAACTCGATGGAAGACATTAGATATAAATTGAAATTGTGATATCTATCATTGTTTGCGTGGTGCATTATAAATAAATGAACTGGAAATAAACCCAAAACTGGCAATATTCGAGATTAGGGTGGAAATAACTGCTTCAAAGGAATGGTGTCATCCAAGGAAAAGGGGTGACAATATGTCAATTCCCAGGTGCAATTGCCTGCGACTTAAAGTCACAATTACTTATGCATAGAAAAGGGAGCTTTTGGTTCGATGCAGCGGAGTCAAAGACGTCGGTCGAGAAGAAAATGAAACAAGGTACCAGCAAAACCCATGCATTGGAAAGCACGACTTACTACGCCAGCACGTTAGCTGTGCAGCAACTTTAAGAAGTCTTGTCGCTCGTCTTATCCTTGGCTGCCTTGTCCGTCGCAGCAACCTCCTTCTTTTCGTCCTTCTTCTCCGAGCAGCCCACCTCCTCTGACTCTTTGTACTTGATCTTGTTGTTCACAAGGTTATGCAGCGCGATCGTACAGCGGATGAGCGAGGACAAGTAGATCACCTGAACCAGCAACCAGTAAACCACGCACAGTAGAACAACAATGTCATCACCTCATCCCGGCACACCCAACACATCCAAGTACCAATACTACTGCGTCCACTTACGAAATGCATGTCGTTGGTCTTTACAAACATGGACCGCACGAGCTCGTCCACGTTCAGATTCGGCAGCAAGTTGAAGATGGTCTGCATGTTGTAAATGATCTGGTAATTCGGTGGCAGGCGGCCCGCGACGACGTTCTCAAGGTACGTCTTCATCTCCTCGAGTCGCTCCTTCAATCCACTCAGCGCCGTCATCTTGTGCTTCACTTGTCCAGCCAAGGAGCTCACGGACGGATCGTTAATGTCCCGTAACAAGTGCTCAACGCCAACTTCCTCGGCTTCGTAGGCACCCACCGTCGACTTGATGTGCTTGAACACGCGCTTGATCGCCTTGCCGTCCTCTTCGACTTCCTCGACCGAGCCATACGCTGTAGTTGGCAGTCCCTCAACGTTCGAGCGCACGTCACAGATTACGAGCACTGGATGCGGACAGTACCGACGGAAGAGGTCGTCAATGTCCAAGTCCGCTTTCCGGATCTTCGGGCCCGAGCTGTAGAAGCCCACGATGCGCTCCTTGGCATTAATCTTCTTGAACATTTGCGACATGTTCTCGAGAAAGTCATGGTCGAGGTACCAGATGCCGGGATTCCGCAGGTCTTCATCAAAGGGCACTGCAAACGAGTTGGTAATGTCGCACTTGCCATGGAACGTCGAGCCAAGGAGCACGCCGACGACGCGCTTGCTCGTGTCGCGCGCCACGCGGTTGTAGTGGTCCACGATGCTAAGGAGCACGAGCGGGTGTGTCACGACCTCTTCCGGCAGCTGTAGCTTGCTCTGCGTCGTCACTGTTGGCTCGGTCATCCCTCCTTTTCCAGCAGCTCCAGTCCGATTCCCCAAATCTTGCGCCGTCAGAAAAAAAGGAAATAAAATACCTGCTCCCTTTTAGTTTCTGAAGTAACGCCTTGATTGGCCACGTTGTTGTGTGGTGCACACTCGGTGTGCAAGCGAGAGAGATGATGTGCCACACACCAATTATTGCTGCACCATGTCGCCGTCACCGACTGTCGTTCGAGCGATTTACCGGTGTCTCCTGCGGGACGCACGCGAGCTGCAGCGCACGCCGCACTCGAACATTCGACGTGAACTGCAGCTTGAGCAATGGGGAACTGGCGGGTTCGTTGAGCCGCTGGTCAAGCACGAAGAGACGACGGATGAAACCGACGCAGTGGTGCTGAAGTCGCTCGAGCAGTTCCAGCGACTGCGGGATGACGGCTTGTTCATGGGCCCGCGTAATGTGGACCTACTAAAGAGCGTCCAATTGGCATTTCGAGAGAACTTACGTCTTGGGGATGTGAAGGTGAGTGCAGATCGTGATGGATTGTGGAGGAGACGGGGGCGGCTGTTGGAGAGCTAATGATCGGGTTTTTTCTTCTCTTTTTTCGGTGTCGTGTGTGAGGTAGACTGCAAGTGCGAAGGTGGATGAGGCTATTAAGTACGCAAAGATGAGGCTTTGATGGTGTTGATGGAGGAGGAGGGAATGGTGTTGTGCTGGGGCTGTGAGTGACTTTGTTTTTGACTGTTGGTGGTGTTTATGCGGTATGACTGTGTGCTACAGGGCGTTGAGTGAATTAGGCAACCAACTGTTTCTCGCTCAGTGCTCTAGTGGTACGAAGGCTACGAAGAGTTGAGTGTTGGTATCTGTGGCCTTTGTTTGGTATTCTAACGTGTGCCATTGGTGGTGGTGCTAATGTCATTGTGGGGTGCTACAGCGACGGTGACAGATGGCGTTCGTATTGAAGCAACGAGCCAGTACGTGCCGAGCCACAGCGACCCGGCATCGAACACTTACCGCTTTACGTACCGAGTCACCATCACCAATCAAAGTGAGGTCATGTCCGATTGTGCTATTCTCGTGGGCCCACGTTGATCTTCTTGTGCTCACAGTGTGTGTTTTGTAACCTTATTTTGTTTTAGACAAGAGTTCTTCCGTTCAGATCTTGGGACGCCAATACACGTTTGAGAGTGGAAAGGGTCAGCGAATAGCGCTACCGCGGAATTCGCCTGGAATTGTGGGGGCCACGCCGTTGCTGGCACCGGGGCAAACGTTCGAGTACGCGAGCGGAGTTGATATTGACGCCCCGCGAGGATCCGTGACCGGTTGCCTACATGCTTTGCTGGTTCCGGAAGAGGGCGATGATGGAAAGCCTTTTGACGCGCTTGTGTCAAAGTTCGCTCTCCTTGCCTCGCCTTTGCGTAGTGAAGGGTGAGCTCTGTACTCATCGGTATGCACACCAGGTATCCCAGACGCCGGAAGTTTTTGTGGTGCAAAGGTATGCGCCATCAGCGACGCAACGTGGATGTGTCAACCGATTACCTTTACGTGGACGATCGGTCATTCTCGCATAACACGGAAGTGCAATGCTGGTCCAACAGAGAGAGTATGCGCAAATTGGCTCACATAGAAGCCGCTGTTGTGTACAATCAATGAGACATTATCGGAACGTGAAATGGGTTTGTATACATTTACGCTGCTCCTGCGGGTAAGGCAGAGCCCTCATGACTGATGGATAAGACGTATGTACATGAACCACTGCAGCTCTCTCTTGACTTCAAAGAGCAAAGACGTCTGGACAGGGACAGAAATCGACGATGCGCTTATTGCTTGCTCCAATATGCCTCGCTATGCGTCAATCGAGTCAGGACCGCTTACTCGACCAACGCATGGTACGTCGGGTAGTACATCCTGGAAGCGACGAAGTCTTCGAGTGTTGCACCGCGGCGGATCGTTGGTCGAAGACCGGCAACGTCTTCCTCAAGGGCAGTCTCACAGACAGCTGTGGCCACCTTGAGCGACACGTCACGGATGTTCTCCACAGACGGGAAGACCTGCCCACTCGCGATCTCTTCCGGTGACATGCACTGCGACAACGCCTTCGCAGCAGAATAGAGCATGCCATCTGTCACGCGGGTCGCTTGAATCACTGACGCAGCAAGACCGACACCCGGGAAGATAAACATGTTGTTGCACTGGCTGATGATGTTCTGCACACCGTCGTACATGACAGGCGGGAATGGACTGCCGCTGGCAAAGACGCACTTGCCCTTGGTCCACTCGTATGCCTGCTCGGCTGTGCACTCCGCCACCGAGGTGGGGTTCGAGAGCGGGAACACGATCGGTTGCCTTGCATGCTTCGCCATTTCTTCGACCGCCTCTTGCGTAAATGCACCTGCAGCGGCACTTAGACCCATGAGCATCGTGGGTTTCGCCTGCTTAATCACGTCGACCAGACTCGTCTTATCCGCAATATCGCTGCGCGAAAAGAACTGCTGGCCCGAGTTCAGCATCTCGCGAGACTCGCCTAGCAACCCGTACTGGTCGAGAATATAGAACTGCTTGCGAGCTTCATCCGCCGTCATGCCTTCACGCAGCATGCCCTGGAGCAGCGTGGCAGCCACACCGAGTCCTGCACTTCCTGCACCAAGAATAACTATACGCTGGTCTTTTAACGGAATCTGCACACGCTCGCACGCACTCAAAGCGCCAGCCAGCACTGTAGCACCCGTTCCCTGGATATCATCGTTAAAGCAGAGCTGCTTGAGGCGGTACGCATTCAGCACGTCTGCAGCGTGCTCGCTTGAGAAATCCTCAAACTGCACCAACACCTTAGGCCACCGGTGACGCACAGCACGCATGAACTCATCCACCATCGACCAGAAAGCCTCGCCAGTTAGACGCGGCTGCTGCACACCAAGGTAGTACGGATCCTCGAGAAGCTTCTGATTGTTGGTGCCCGTGTCAAGCATCACTGGAAGCACCTTGCGTGGATCAATGCCACCAGCAGCCGTGTACAGTGCCAGTTTCCCAATGGGTATCCCCATACCGTTCGCACCAAGATCACCGAGTCCCAAGATACGACTGCCGTCCGTGACTACAATCACCTCCACGTCATCAGAAGGCCAGTTGTGCACCATCGCGCCAAATTGGCCGCGATCACGCGTGCTGAAGAACATCCCACGTGGGCGGCGAAACAAGTGGCCGAACTTCTGGCACACCAACCCGACCGTCGGAGTGTACACAATGGGGGCTACACGCAAAGTTTTACATTTGCACAATATGGTGTTAGCATGCAGCAGCATCTTCCAACCGAGCGAGTCGCATGATGCGAAAATATAACAAATCATCAGCACCCACCCATTTCCTTCATGTGCTTGATCAAGAGACGAAAGAAGAGTGTCTCATTACGGTCGTGCAGATCCGTGAGGAAGCGGCTCTTGCTGAGCGTGTCCTTCTCTTGCGAGAACGTGTCGTACACCTTCGTCAGCTGCGCTTTCACCGTCAGCCGACGCGGCGGCACCAGACCACGTAAACCTGTCAAGCATACAGCAGAGGTACACACCCAAGAGTCACAAATCTCAAGTCAGAATCACAGTAGCAAAATAAAAAAGACCAAGATTCAGAAATCACGAATCCGATCTTAGTGCGTTGGTGCGTTCAGTATCGGTCGTCGTACCAAGACGGTCCCGTTCGACGTGTGGAAAACCGGTGCCCTTGTTGTACAGCGGATCGTGCACCAAATTGAGTCCCTTCAGACCCGTTTTAATCGGCGGGTTGTACTTCTTAAGTGTCATTAAGTACGTGTCAAGCGTATCGTATCCGGAACCCGAGGGCTCGCCGCCACTCATGACCTCCTCGTCTTCCTCATGGTCCTCAGGAAAAACGGGAGCAGAAAGGAAACGCGCGTGTGTCGTGGCGGGTACACGCAACACGACGGACCGGAGGGGGCGCCTGGAAGCAAGGAGTTGCCGTGCCAACATGCTGAAATGCGCGTGGTGGCGATATGACACGCACGAGCCAACAACAGAGCGACGATAGACGCGTCGTAATTGATGTACAATACACGAACTGAAGTGGCGCTGGTGCGCGTATCTCATTGGGCGTCCTAGTTTATGTTCGGTACATCGAAAAAAGTTGTGCCGATGCGTGTGTCTCATAGGGCGTCCTAGTTTATGGACGGTACATCGATAAAAGCTGTGCAGATGCGTGTGTCTCATAGGGCGTCCTAGTTTATGGACGGTACCTCGGTGAAAGTCGTGCCGATGCGTGTGTCTCATTATTTGGCGACATGGGGACAAGGCTGTCTCGATGACCGCATTGGCTAAAAACCCGGCACGTGCGACCTGTCGTCTGAACGCCTTGGCACCGACTGCAATAGTTGCGACACATTGTGTAAAAATGCACGGCTCGGATGTATCTGGTTTTACACGTGATGATTGCCAGCTTTGACGACAGCCTTTTCGCAGTGTACAAACGTGTGGTACACGTCTACCATAGCTGCGGTTGTTTACCGATTCTGCATCAGAAGACGCTAAGAACGAAAGTGTGCTCTGTCGTGTTTCAGTGCTGTTCTGTCGATTTGCGAGACGGTAAATGGCATTACACCACTTGATCTTCTCATTTGTACGAGATCGACGTGGTGAAGATGTCCATTGTGCCGTGACTTCGCCTACCAAGTAATGAGTCGATGGCGCTGAATACCACAACATTGTCGCACGGCTGTCGCTGCGGACACCTTGTGGGACGCACGTGGGACCAAACTTGCTCCTTGGTCTCAAATTTGTATCGTTCAAGAGAGCTCGTGCAAAAAATCAGCGATGAAGTGGTAACATTCTACCATTGCACACGGGGTGCGTGGCCGTAGATCTAGAAAACCAAAAGGTCACGGACGTGGCATAACCACACCTGCGTACCTAACGTACACATAAGGTACACCCCCCCCATGGATCATGTCATATCGATGTACACAGACGCTACATCAAACCTATCGACTTGGCATAACCCACTTTATCTTATTCAAAGAGAGAGAGAGAAAAAAAACATGCGACGTAAATCACAAATTCGCCATAGTAAAGTCTTGATCATTCCCCCACCCACTCGCCCGCGTTCTCATTTCGCAATCGAGCAGCTCCATCACAAGCACGAGCGCCAATCGTAACCTACCGAACCAGTAACCACCCCACCACGACAACCAGCATGGCGACCGAGAGCGGATTCAAGGCCGCCGGTAAGAAGGCGGGACTTGAGGTCTGGCGTATCGAAGACCTCGAGCCGGTGCCGGTGCCAGCTGCTGAGCAGCACAAACTCTACAGTGGCGATAGCTACATTTTCCTCAAGACAACGTACGTGTATCGACAAGGTTTTGTCCCTCCCTTCCTTGCCACGTAGCTACGGACGCTCACTCTCTGCCTGTCTTTGTTGTGCTGTACTCTCTCTTTTGTATGCACTGGCTACTGCTGGTAGTGCCGGGCCAATGTGGCACATTCACTTTTGGCTGGGCAAGAACTCGTCCACTGACGAGAGCGGCGTGGCCGCGTACAAGACGGTGGAGCTGGACAATGCACTGGGCGGCGTCGCTGTCCAGCACCGGGAGTGTCAGGGCTATGAATCTGTGAGATGTTTGTGGTTATTAGGAAGGTCTTGCCGGTCGCAGTGTCTGACTCTCTTTTTTTTTGCGTTCATGTGTGTGTGTTCTTGTTCGTTCGTTTGTTTGTCTTTGTAGCCACTGTTTCTGTCTTACTTCAAGACGACGGGTCTGCAGTACCTAGAGGGAGGCGTTGCAAGTGGGTTTAATGAAGTCAAGCGCGACGAGTACGTGACTCGTCTATACAGGATCAAGGGAAGTCGCACTGTGCGTGTTGAGCAGGTGCCGCTGCAGAGCTCGTCGCTGAGTGTGGACGATGCCTACGTGCTCGATGCTGGGCTCGAGCTCTTCGTCTACGCCGACAGGGAGGTCAATCGTCTGGAAAAGACCAAGGCGTTAGCGTTCGTTTGCAAAACTAGAGAGGATCGGGGAGGACGTGCCAGTGTTGTGTTCATTGATGAGGACCCGAGAAACGTGGCGTTTTGGGATGCCCTGGGCGGTTTCACGACTGTGACGCGCTCGAGAGAGTCGGATGAGCACCATGAAATCGCGGTGAAGAAGAGCACGAGCGTGCTTTGTGTGAGTGGATCGACGGACGACAATCTGAAGGTCGTCGATGTCACGCCGTCATCGGGAGTCCTTACGAAAGATATTTTGAAGACCGAGGATGTGTTTATTATCGACGTTGGCAACGAAATGTTTGTCTGGGTGGGTAAGGCCGCTTCAAGGAGCGAGCGCAAGAGCGCTTTGGCAGTTGCTGAGCCCTACTTAAAGAAAGTAGGCCGTCCGTTGCACACGCCTATAACACGCGTTGTCGAGGAGGGTGAAACGCCCTTGTTCACTGCATTGTTCAAGGCTTGGAATTCGCCCAAGGTTCTTGAATTTGGTCATCAGCCAAGTCAGGGTGTTGCTAAGATGCAGGATGACAAGCCCATCGATGTGAAGGCACTGGTGAAAGCAGCGACCAAAATCGAGGAGGACATTGGCGCGGACATCGAGGGTGACGGAAACCATCAGGTTACAGTGTGGCGTATCGAGGGCATGGAAAAAGTGGAGGTGCCGAAGGAACAGTATGGTCAATTCTACGATGGCGATAGCTACATCATCTTGGATGTGGTGACGCCGTCGAGTGGCAAGCCTGCACAAGTGATTTATTTCTGGCAGGGACGCTCATCGACAACCGATGAGAAGGCCGGGTCGGCTGTGTTGGCCACGTTCTTGGACGACAGCTTGGGCGGCACGCCCGTTCAGGTCCGTGTGACTCAAGGCAAGGAGCCGGGCCACTTTCGTGCATTGTTCAACGGAACGATGATTGTGCACGCTGGTGGCAAAAGCAGTGCTTTTACTAACCGTAAAGACGAAGATTCTTACGACACGGACGGTGTTTCGCTTTACCAAGTGAAGGGAACCAGTGCAAAGAACACCCTCGCAGTGCAGGTAGAGGAGAAGGCCTCGAGCCTTGCTTCGGGCGACTGTTTTGTCTTGGTGACTCCCACCAAGGTTTACGAGTGGCAGGGTGCTGGAAGCAGTGGTGCTGAGCGTGAGATAGCGTCCAAGATTGCCTCTGTTCTAAAGAAGAACCGGGAGACTGCAGTTGTAGAAGAGGGAAGCGAGTCGGATGATTTCTGGCAGTTTTTGCATGGGAAGAGCGAGTATGCGAAGTCAAAATCATCGTTTGAGGCTCCCCACGAACCCCGCCTGTTCCAGTGCTCGAACGCGTATGGGTACTTCGATGCGCGCGAGATCGTCGACTTTGCACAAGATGACCTCAACACGGATGACGTGTTTATACTGGATACGTACACGACTCTGTACGTATGGATTGGTGCTGGTGCGAACGAATCTGAGAGACGCAAGGCTATGACGCTTGCAGAAAACTACTTGGCTGTCGTCAAAAGCGACGGCCGTGGCGAGGGCACACCCATCGTGGCGGTCCACTGCAACAGTGAGCCACTCATGTTCACGAGCAACTTCTTGGCCTGGGACAGCGACTACTTTCGCAAGAACGAGTTCTTGGACCCTTACGAGACCCGACTTCGACTTTTGAAGGAAGAGAAAGCGAAGAACGCGCCAAAGGAGTTGCCTGGGACGACTACCACCAGCAAGAATGTCCACGAGAAGGAAGCCGCAGTACCTGCTTCTGCCACGGTAGCGTCTGTCACTGGTCCGTCTACGAAGTCTTCAGCTTCAGCAGCCACTCCAGTGTCGCCTAAGGCCACTCCAGTATTGTCCAAGACCACTTTGGCATCGCCCAAGATCACTTCGCCATCACCCAAGGTCGCCCCGCAGTCGCCCGAGGTAACTCCTGTATCGCCCGAGACCACCCCGTCACCGTCGAAAGCCACCCCGTCATCGTCGAAATCCATCCCGACGTCATCGAGTGCCATCTCAGCATCGAGTGAAGCTGCTCCAGCATCGCGTGATGCCAACCCATCATCGGTCAATGCCACTTCGACGTTGTCAAAAACCACCCAGACATCATTTGACGCTATCCCGTCGTCGTTCGAGGCCACTCCGATGTCATCGAAAGCTCCGTCGGCACCGGCCAAGGTCAACTCGACATCCTCGCTCACTACTGCTGCGCTTTCTCCTGTACAAGCCACTGGCCGTGCTGGGGAGACATTCTCTTACGAGCAGCTGAAGGCTGGTGTTGAAGGCATCGACATCACGTTGAAGGAGGTATGTGCCCAAGCTGCAGCATTGTATTGTAATGGTTCGAGTCCGTCTTACAGCTCGTCTTTTGTTTGCATAGAACTACCTCACGGACGCCGAGTTCGAGACCGTCATGGAAATGACCAAAGACGAGTTTGCTGAGCTTCCCAAGTGGAAGAAGCAAGCCAAGAAGAAAGAGACGGGGCTCTTTTAAGCCACAACAAAGCGCAGCATCGGATACCGGGGACTCTTCCGACCCCGCACAGCATCACCCGAGGCAGGCGAAGCCACGAGGTTCCTCCTCCATCCCGTGCCCAGTAGGTGATGTGGAAGTTGTCGTAGCTTTGAGGAAATGAAGTTAAACGACACGTGCACCTCGTCTTGATTTCGTTCCTTGTCAAGCCAGTGCCGATCCCGACTTGGACGATCGGACACGAACCGGAACTTCTTCAGTCCAGTCTTTCGTTCCCCCTCCTCCTCGTTCTTCGTCCGGGATTCCGGCTCGACCATCATCATCGAATGGCCTCGTCACCTTCGCCGCCAATCGGTCCGAAACTCGCACCTTTCACACCCAGCGGCGACGGAGTGCTCACCCACGCTCTGGATCTACTGGCCCTCTCACCCAGTGACGTTCTCTTCGACTTGGGCTGTGGGGATGCGCGGATGTTGGTGCATGCGGCCGAGCAAACGGGTGCACGGTAACGCTGGCAGTTCATTTACCGTTGATCGGGTTTCTTGAGCTCTTCGGTTGAGCTCTGACTGTTGGTTGGTCTGCGAGGCAGTGGAGTTGGCGTGGAATACAATGGAGACTTGGTGAAGCGAGCGCAGGCACGCATCGAGGTCAAGTGACGTGTGGAGATGGCACTTTGCTTTGCAAGGAGATAATGGGGTGGAAAGCGACTGATGCTGCTGCTGTGGTTCTCGCTTCGGATGTGGTGTGGTGGAGTGCAGGAAAGCGGCGTGATGGACCTGGTGGCTGTCCGACATGGGGATGCACTGGAGGTGGATCTCACGACGGCGACGGCGATGTTTCTGTATCTCGTTCCACGAGTAAGGGAGCGAAGCGTTGCACGGAATAAGTAGCGGTACCCCTGTGTCGACACCTGACTGTAAGCTCATGAGTGGTGCTTGTTTCTGCGTCTCGATTGCTTGTTGTGCGTGTGCATGTGTGTGCAGGGAATCCAACTGCTCTTGCCAAAGTACGACGGTCTTGTCCGATCTCGAGACCTCTTGTGAACTGGTTGACTCTGAGGCTGCTGCTGTGGGGATGAACAGGTTAGAAGAAGCACGACGGCTGCACGTCCGATTCGTGACGTACATGTTTTCGATCCCTGGCTGGATACCCACCGACGAGCGCACGTACAAAGGCACAAAAGTAAGTCTCCTGGACCCACTTTCTACCTACCTACCGACCTCTCTTTCTCTCTCTCTCTCTTGCAGCAGCAGCAGCCACTGCAGTAGTGCATCTGTGCATCATGGAGAGAAAAGAGAGAAGAGCGACTGACATGTGCGCTGTGGCTCCCACAGGTCTATCTCTACAATTCGTCCGCATCGACACGACAGTGACTGGCCTCTCTCTCACCACCACTAAACAGCCAGCACGACAAACGACCCTCGACCGCGCCACCACAACTCGAGTCAAAAAAGTTGCAAGCGCCACCGATCAATAGGCTCTTCATTCCCTCTTTTTTTCACACTTGACGTGTCAACCTTCCCGTTTATTTCGTTCGTCCTCGTCTTCATTCAGCTAGTACCAGATCAGGGGGAGGTCATCCCTCCCTAATCACCAGCATAAGCTCTCTGTCTCGACAACAAGAGCTCCATCACAGCCACTGACTGCCCAGCAGCAGCAGCAGCCACAAGAGTTTAAAACTGACGCCTCTTCATCGCTTCTTGAATGGCAATCGCCGACGCGTACGAGTTGGCAGCGTACGTGGCATAGTTCTGCTCCTTCGAGTGCGTGGTCACAAGGTACTGCCGTGGTACCTCGGGGAATCCCTCCGAGCTCGTATGTTGATGGTGACGGTGGAATCCCCTCTTCTTCTGGGCCGGTAGATCGTCTTCGAGTCGCCACTTGGCGCCGTCCGCCAGAGACGATAAATGGGCCTATATAAGGGACGATCAAATGGAGGAAATCAGGGCACCAAAAAGAGACGAGAGTCGAGTGCATGTCGATACAAAGAGGAAAAAGCTATGCACCTGCACATTCCCTTCGTCCTTGCTCTTGGACGGCGTGAGCTGTGAGAGGAACTCGCTGATCGGATTGCTGCTTGCCATTTTGTGTCGTGCGTCCGTGCCACTGCTTTTTAGCGCTTAATCAGGGGTGGACAACTTCGCTGTGTGGATGGAAAGAGGGGAACGTTTTTTTTTTCGTGGCAAAAGAGGGAGTGCTGGGGTGGGCGATATATTTAGAAATCAGTCGCAGCCGCGTCGCGGCTTGTGCTCGTCCCTTGTGAATTAGAAACGATATCGATGTCGCAAGAGAGACTGATGTTGTTGTAAATCAGTACTCGGATGAATGACGGGCCGCTGCACATCAGAGATGACGTAGCAACAGTGTTTATGGCTCATGTCGACGCAGTGGCATAATCAAGGATGGACTATGGTATGATAGCCGATCGATTGATCTGCGTGGGTTTACCGAAAGAGAATTGAATTTATAGGCCTTATCGACCTAGAAGCGTAGTACCACATTAAGAGTTATGGGGCTTTGCTCCAGAACGGGAGGTCGAAACGACTGTATATTTGCAGGCCGATGCTTTCGTCATTCACTGCAAACTGCTGGACGCTCCTTCGAGAGATGTTACACTCATCGGAAAGCCTACGTGCAAGCAGCGACAACAGTTATAGCTCTTCAGTTATGCATCAAGCAAACAAACTGGAAAGTGAAGTTCATCAGGAACCAAGAATGGAAAAGCTGCATGTACCTGCATGGAATTTGAAATGTTTGTCTTAAAGAAGTAGAAGCTAAGTAAAGTAAATAACTTGTATATTACCGCGCACCAGACGCGTTTCGGCCCCCCGCCGGGGGCCTCATCAGTGGTTTGTCAATCTACAAGTGAGAACTATCCATACGTCTAGCTGCCGTACGACCTATAATAATGCATAGAACCCTAAAGAACATTCTAGACATACCCTATCATGGGTCGAATCTCTGGAGTCGAATCCAGTGCATCAAGCACTTACAACATGTCTACGAGGCTACTGCTCGCTGAACCAGCTGCAGGGAAAGCAAGATACAATGATGGCGTAATAGCAGCGGTATTACGATAATTGAGCCACTGCGAGCCACGAGCCGAGGATCCCACGATGCATCCGCAGTCTTGATTCCTCTTGAACAACTTTGTTACGAGAGCGCTTCCTGTGAGCCTGATTTGGAGCAGGACCATCTTGCACTCTGTTACCATTCTGCACAGAACAAATCGCTATCTGTCATACAGGCTCTAGACTTGACGATAGCTTACTAATATTCGATGCGAGTAGAGGCGGAGGTAGCGAATAACAAACGTCGGCTCTCTTCCGCTTTATCTTACCAGCATCTTGAGAGGAGAAGTAAAGGAAGCCTTTGCACATTCTACCCTCCTATCACTTGCCCGCTACTACACAAGTACTTGAAGCAAATTCTGACGCTTGTGTCTTGCATACGTAGATGTTACTCGAATAAGGTCATTTGACTATCTGAAGAATCTAGGCACTTGTTGGCGAAGACCAGTCAAGATGGTCGTAGGACCTTTACCACGTCCTTTGCTTTCGATCGATACATCAAGCCATATCTCTCGGTAAACTTACGCTTTATCGGCTGGTGGAAGCAGTTGGACTCGTTGAATGCACACTTTCACCAATACACCCTGCCGTCAACCAGTGCCTCAATATGAAGCTTTCTAGATGTCCGACCCTTCTCCCATCCTAATTATCGCGACAAAGTTCACGTTGCGATGCCACAGTCACAACCACCAGGACGAGCGATCGGTCTCTAATCCATTACACATTGCTGCTGACTTTCTTTCGTAAGTTGTACCGTCGCTCTGCACGCGGATCGCCAACTCGCTTAATCGAGAAACAGATGGGTGAACGTGATTCCCTTACAACGCTACACTGCTTTCTGAACTATCTCCACTTACAAGACAGCAAGAACTCTTTTACGTGGTCGATCGCCAGACGAGGCGGATATTCAATTGATACAAAGCTCATACTTTGGCGAGATTCCGACGCAAACAACCTTACCACTAACACCGACGGATCATTTCGGTACCTGCAAAATACTCGGATGTTAAGAGTCCCATGAAGACAATGCTCGCGCGGACTGTCAAAAAAATGATCGACTTCGTCATGCTTTGCACGTTTATGCAAGTGGTGATTACTACATTAATCCCATGCACTAGAGCCGCCAAAGCCAATGTTGGGCGTGAAGTTGATCTGCGTGAAGTCCAAAGACTTGGCCTGCCGCGTCTTGCTCTTCTTAACCTTTTTGAATAGCTTTTCGGCCACCACGCCGCTAGCAATCTCCTTAGGCTGTCGCTGGTCTTTCTTCTTATCATGCTTTTCCTTCCGCTTCTTTTCCTTCACAGCCTTCGCTTCCGACTTCTCCTTTACCTTCAACGTAGATGCAATCTGTGCAACGTCCACATGCACAAGATCGTTGGTCTTGACATGCTTCGCTTTCTTGTGCTTTAGAACTTTATCAGACTCGGATACAGCAGCAACTGCCTTCGCTGTCGAATGAACATCCTGCTTTTCATGCTTGCGCTCGTGCCGAATCTTCTCTTTCTTGCTGGGTTTCTCGACATTGTTGTTGCTGTCCACGCGTACAGTCACCTCATGAGTTTCTGATTCAGCCCCGACTTTTGTGACTTTGCTATGTTTTCGCTTCCCCGTGTACGCTGGTTTCGTAGTCTTGCCAGCAAGCCCCATCTTGTTGTTTTTTTGCTTCATCTTCTCCTCCTTCGACGGTGCAACATATCCGTGCACACGCTTGTCCTGCACGCGGGTAGCGTCGCGCACCACCAAGTTTGGGAACAGCCTCTTCATCTTAAAGTTGTACTGCTTGTGCTTGGCATCAAGACGCCTATCCTCCTTCATCCTTCGCTTCTCATCGTCAGATACATCAGCTTTTTCAGTCACAGTCTCATCGTTTTGCTTCTTTCCACTATCGCTATCGTGTTCACTGCTCATACTGTTATCGTCATGCCTGTCACCATTGTCGCTCTCGTTGTTGCACGTGTCACCACTTTTCTCGACATCACCAGCTGTGCTTGGCAACTTCTTTCCCACGATCGGGTTGCCGATCAAGTTCAACTGCCGCAAGTTGTCAAGAGAGCTCAATGCCTCCAGACCTGACCAGTCATCGATTTGGTTGTGGCTCAGTTCCAGCACTTTCAGATTTTCTACAAGGTACAACCCCCATCCGAGATATAGTTAGCACGCAGCGACCTCGTGCGACACAATTCCACCTCAAACGTACTCAAATGTGCTAAATGAGCCGGAACCGTCTTTATGCGATTGTGAGACAGACGTAGCTCCGTAATTTCCGACAGTTGACTCAAATCTGGAATCTCCTCCAGCAGGTTATGAGAGCTGCACCAACACACACCGGCCCCGTGGACGAAACTGTAAGACTGCCATCCAACGTCGTCATAGGTAATAATATCGATATCACGTACATTGAGATCTTCTTCAAATTCGGCAGTCCACCCAGCACACGTTGCGGGATCTGTGTGATGCGGTTGTTGCTCACAATCAGCGAGTTCAGCTCCTGCCCAGCAGCAGCAGCAGCAACAAGATCATCAACAACAACACGAACCACAAGAAATTAGTCACCCGTCCACTGTGTCCAATATCAAGTTTGCATCGCACAGGCAATTTCGGGATCCAGTCCAGTGTAGATATAGAGTTATTATTCAGCACAAGCGCCTTGAGCGTGCGCACGTTGCGCAGCACCTCAAACGGGATACGCGTCACGCTGTTCTCAGCTGCATTTAGAATCACGAGCTTCTTGAGGTGCTGGATCTCGGCAAGACCGTCACCCGTCAACTTGTTGTCAGTGAGCTTGAGCATGGTCACGTGCGCTACGGACTTGAGCTGCGTCAGCTTGGTGAGCTTATTGTGGCTCAAATCGAGCTTTGTAGCGGTCTCGAGACCCTCCAAGCTCACAATAGTCTCGATGCCACGTCCTGTGAGATCGACTTGCTGTCCATTGTGCGTCACGATCTCATTGCGAAAGTGAACGAGCTTCTCGGCAGTTAGCTTCTTGATACGGCACTTGGCCGGCGCTTGATTACGCTCCGTCATGTTGACCATGAGCTTTTGAGCGACTGATGGCCAATCAACCGGTCGTCGTCACTCGACTGCGGGTCATCAAAAGCCGCGTTACAATGACATATGACAAAGTGCTTCAAGGTTTTTCACGATAAGAGCAAGCGCGGACTTTTACATCAACCCGCAGCCACTACGACAGCTTCTGTAGAGGACCGTGCACGGTTCCTATGATTGTGTGGCTATTTTATCGAAGTTATCTATCGAATGTGCATGTTGAAGCAGGTTGCACATGGAGCACCTTTTGTCCCGCTGGCGTCATATGTGATACAAACCGGATGGCGCAATCCTATACTCGGAATTAAATTAATAGAGTCACCACGACTTTACTCGCTACTGCTGCACCGAAGTTGAAGCCCGTTGCGGCTCAACTACGTACAGTAGTACAATCTCAGACAGGTCGGACATGGCTTTACAATCAGCACTGGAGGAACTGCGACCGCCGCTTTGGTCTGAACTGACCGCCTGATCGTCCACACGCTCGCGGTAGCGTTCGACGAACCCACTTGAGGCAAACGCGGCGCGTCGGTGTTCGCGTGTACGTGCTCCCACCACAGCGCGACGTTATAGTCGCATCGAAATGAGAAACAGCTTCGGAGCTTCGGTGTCAAATGAGACTCGACGACTGTAACGAATGAGGCTGTTTGTCTGGCGTTTGGCAGGGCAAACCGTACTTTTACATAGAGAGCACAGCAAAGGGCGTGAGTGACCCCGCACGTTGACGACATGGGGGCTCGCACCTCTTGGGTGGGAAGCCGCGTCTGCCATGCACCAGCGTGTTCTTATGCCGACAACACATGTCATCGGGTTAGCATGGCCTTGCCTCCTTATCCATAACACATGACAGCTGCTCGACTCGCTTCACATGGCTGGACTAAGAAGACCACGAATCCGAACGCCGAATTACTTCCAGCAAGTGCAGAACTAGATGTGGACGTGTACGACGATAGTACGAATGGGGGGCCAGGCGTCGAACGAACGAAACGAACGAAGCGACTTGCAGCAAATAGCCAGCTACTCGTCCTCGTTTGCGTGTGCCCATCAGATTGGCGTCTTGAGGTTTCCTAACGCTGCAGGTTATTCCTCATCCAGCTCGATGGCGCTAGTGCAAGATTACGTGCAGAAACTATGAAGCGGGAAGACGTTTGCTACAACTTCCAACAGAGGGTTTGCAGGCCCATGGGGCGGTCGATAAATGTCTTGTGTCGAATGGCACTCTCTCGAGGTGACTGAGCGAACGACTGGACGGGTCGACCTAGCCCTAGGTAGAGGTCGCGGGACGAGCAAGCGGGTATGACCCTGGCTATGGGCAGACACAGACACAGAGAGGGACAGAGACAGACGAGGAGAGAAAGAGAGACAGACAGACGGACAGAGACAGACGACATGGACAGACAGACAGGCCGTCCGTCTGTCCGTCAAATAGTCAGACAGCCGGCCTCGACCAACTCACTTGAGCTCTTAACGACCAGCACAGACATACGCTGGCCATTACCTCCCTCCCTGTGTGCACGAACGTCTTGGTGGTACCCGTCTCGGCGTGCTTTTTCCTACCAGCTGCCGTCATTTACCACTGACCACGTTCTGGCCTCGCTTGCCTTATCCTCAAGCGTCACCTCCCAAGGTCTCACTAGCCAACTTCCGGCCTAGCACAAGCAGGAGACCAAGCAGGACAAGAAGCAGAAAGCCGGCGGTTCTTTATCATGATGGTCGAGGCCCGCTACACGTCCGTATTGCGCAGTACGCGCAGCGGCAACTACTACAACGTGCCCATTCAATCCGGAGTGTCCACCCCGTCGACGCTTCCCAGCAATTCCGACGACAGATTCGAGAGCGAAGCCGTAGCGGCGGCGTGGGGCACGACCACAATGCGACGGCTCCCGGCCGTGGCTAAACGCCGCGACCTCAACGCGGCGCTCGACAGCGTCGCACCATCGAAAGACCCCACGGCTTTTCAGCTCGCGTTCGCCTTTGACTTGAATAAACTCGTGGCGTCGCTCACTACGGGCTTGGCCAGTTCGAGTCACAATTCGTCGTTCACGTCGTCTACACACAGTGGGGGCGAACCCGCTCCCGAGCCAATCCCTGAGCTCTCGCGGACAGCTCTGTTGCCATTAGGTGGCAATGGCATTGAGAAGCAGGGGACGCCGCTACTGCGTCAACGTCGACGACGTGGGGCGCTGTCAGGGGAAGAGGATCTCGCGCGCTCGTACGCGGGTGCTACGACGAAGGCGAGTCCGCCCAATAGTATCATCGCCTATAGCTTGAATAAGCGCAAGCAGAAGCGATTAGCAGCCAAAGCATTGGCCGCAGCGTCTGGAGTGCATGGTCCGAACTTTGAGGTAGCAGTGGCGGATGCTGGCAAGGAGCACCAGCCGCAGTACGTGCCACGATACGTGCCTCAGTACCAGGGCGACGTGACGACGTTCGTAGGACCGCCACCGTCACGCCATCGCGAGCTTTTCGACCTGGATCAGCAGAGTTACGCACTATAAGACGAGAGAGAGAGAGAGAGAGGGGAGAGATGCAAGTGTTGTGCCACAATCCCCGCTGTCACCACCACCACCTCGATCCGTTTATCAGGTAGACTTTAATTATTAGACGTGTGTGTCCGTCCTCACCCCACGAGTGAATCGTAATAAACGCAGCCAGCGGTAGCTGCGGCATTTTCTTCTTCTTCTTCCTCTTCTCGTGGCGTTTTCCTCATTCCTAAATCTCAAGTTGGGCTCCGACAGGCACTTATTGATCCCTCCTTGCTCGGTTGTTGACCACTTCTGTGTGGGTGGGTGCAACGCCGCAGATGGGACGAACCGTCATGGCAGACATGGCGGCTGGGCTGAGGTTCACTGATCGATCAACCCGTAAAAGTGGCCGACGTAACGTCTAGCGCTTGTCCGCTAACCGGAGTGCAGGTTGAAAGTAGCAGTAGCATTAGCACCAGCACTACTTTCGCATCTGCTCGTTGCTCGTTTTCTTCTCCATCTTGAAGCTCCTGATCTTGTAGGAAGCGAAAACTGCTTGACGTCATCTCTTCGTCCCGACAAAAGGAGTCGCTGGTGATTCGTGCTGACGTGGCCAGACCAATGGGTCAAGGACAGAGCGCCATCCCGACGACGGAACAGACGGCGCTCGAAGCGCTCTACGATGCATTGAACGGCGACCGCTGGCGTCGTCGAGACGGCTGGAAACAGGCCACGTACGACTGTGAGCAGTGGTTTGGCGTCGAGGTGGTCGCGGGTCACGTCGTAGCTCTCGAACTTCCAGCCAACGACTTGAGTGGATGCCTTCCAGTCGCTACGCTCGCTCGTCTGCCGCATCTGCGTGTCCTGGATCTGTCCAAAAACCAGCTGCAAGGAGAGATGCCAATCGAGCTGAAGATGCTCACGAGGCTCAAGCGTCTGGACTTGAGCTGCAACGACCTCACGGGCGTCATTCCGAGCGATATCGGTGTCTGCCGAAGTCTGAAAGAACTGCATCTACACCAGAACTCGCTGCACGGGACGATCCCGGAGCAGCTGGGCAACCTCCAGCGTCTACAGACCCTCCAGCTCCAGCACAACAATTTGTGCGGAGCTCTGCCCGCTGCTCTTTGTGAGCTGACGCAGCTGAGCAAATTCAGTGTGCGAGGCAATTGCTTGACGGGGTGCATTCCCCCGGACATTGGCCACATGCGCTCGCTTGTCTTCCTCTCATTGCGGAACAATGAGTTCACGGGCGTCATCCCATCGTCTCTTGGCTGCTGCAAGGCACTAGAGTTCCTCAACCTATCGAGCAACCGGCTGAGTGGACCTATTCCCGAGGCATTGGGGGAGCTCGAATCCCTCGAGTACATCTACTTGTTTGACAATGCGTTGGAAGGCAGCATACCACGTACCTTTGCACGGCTAAAGTTCCTCAAGGAGTCCGACTTCCGCGACAACCGCCTACGAGGCGAGCTGCCCAACTTCTTGGACGGCTGCCCCAGCCTCGAAGCTGTCATGAGCAAGTGGAAGAACCGCAAGGCCAACTATCGTTACGCTGTGTTAGGAGACCCTATGCCAAGTTCCTACACCCCACCCGCGTCGTCGCATGATTTCTTGCAACAACTGGAAGATCCAGTGTCCAATTCAAGCGCCACCTGTTTGAGCAAAAGCTTTGGCCGCATCATCAGCAATGACGAAAGCTCCGGCGACGGAGCTCCTGAGGACGACCCTGCCAAGACTTCCCACCTCGTTACGCACTTTTCACGCAATCGCGTTCAGAAAGTGCCTACTACAGCTGCTGCGACTTCTGCAGTCTAGTTACTATAGGGGATGGACATGGTTGCTTGTCTTCATGCTTTTACAAACGCTGTTGTCACGCTGCCATTTGACCTGAACCTTTCATCGATGAAGATGCGTCTTTTTCCAGCACGCCGCGCACATTTGGCACAATCTATCGGACTTTCCGTTGGGTCGGCACCCTCACGGCTTTTTGAATTGATGCGCGTTCGCTACCTTTCAAAGCATATGGCAAGGAGAGCAGACGATAGAGTTGTCTTTATACGTCGAATCTGCATCAAGTGAGGAAACACATACGGAACTCTTGGCAATATGTCAATGGCATTGGAAGGTGCTTTGATTGCGGGAATTTGAATCAAATGCCGGTAAATACTAATGAACCGCGACTTAAATATCGGTGGTCGTGTTGGAAAGGGGTTGGCTCGGCGGTGGGTGGAATGACTCAATCCCGCACACGTTTCTACGTCCAGCAGGACAACATCATTTCTTCACTTCGTTCGAGCAAGCTCACTGAGACTGCCAAACAAACGTTCGTAAAGACAGCCACGTGCAGACTGAGGCATGCGAATGTATCGTTTTGTAATATATCAATTGTATTTGGATGAGGAAAAGACAGGTGCGTAGTTTGCCCTTCGCTATTACACTCGTACATGTAGCAGTACTGATTTTTAAGACATTCATCCACATAAGCCTACATCAATTGCTTCGCCTTCCGGCTGCTCCTATCCTCTCCAAATGCAAACCGACTAAAGATTGGGGAGCAAGCTCTGGAGCCCGCCCTTTGATATTGGTAGCTAAGTTTGGAGACATGAATTAAGTTGCAAAAAAAATGTACGAGAGCAGTCACTGAAGCAGAAGTATGATGTTGTCAATGTATGTGTAGATTCAATACAGTGCACTCAAGCAACGCGATCAGCAAATGCTTATCAGCGTCCAGCATTTGTTTGTGTGATCATATTCACTTTCGACCGATTTAAGTTAAACACAAGCGTACGCCAGAATAATGACTTAGCTAAAGAGTGACATCAGATATGCCTACATACTAATGAGGGGGGGGACTGGCTAGATCGTACTTTGTTCGCGCGAGATTCGCCTAGCAACTTTGTTTACAGACAGACAAGCACTCGGATGAGTAAGATTAAAAAGCTCGGCATCCAACCTTGTGCACACTCACTACTAGCTTGTCCATTAGACTCTCAATAAGTATGCGTTTATTTCTTGTTCAGACAACTTTAGGCGAATGACCGATTACATTGAGAGTGGGTGGGATACTTGCGCTCGCCATTTTTACTACCAGTGCCAAGCAGTATCCTGCTTGACTCAAGAATAAATCTGTAACATGTAGCCACATGCCTTCGTCGGCCTTCGCGCTATTTTTTTACTTTGATAAACAACGATTTTTTCAGGATGACAATTTTACAGATGCTTTATCCTCTAATGGATCTCACAACCATAACTGTGTGCCTTGAGTAACTAAAGGCACTCAAGTAGGTACGAGCATTCTCTTTGGCGTCATGAGTATGATAAAGTGGAAAAAGTTTGAGGTAAATCGGAATTAAGATCGAGGTGGTCAGCTCTGCTATGTTGGTTGTGTATCCTAGCTTTCCAGGGTGCAGGTCTGAGAGCCAGCAGTTAGTTACGTAAGCAAAATAAGGCTTCCATTCAAAAGGCGCTAAATAGCAGCTTTTATGCGTCCATTGGACAACTTTTTGGCGTTCATTGAAAGTTTGTCTACTTTACAGCTAAAGATTAGAAACTATAATTTAGAGTAATAACATGAATGCTATTTCTGATTCAGATTATCAGATGTCCCCAGGGGAACTAGCTCTAGCACTGAACAAAAATGACCAAAACTGGTGCTGACGAGGCTATTTAGAGATACGATTCGAAGCCGCCTACCTTTCGAGAAGCTGATCACATTCCGGCTGACATATTGATGAATCTGAAATATTGAGGCTAAGAGCTAGACGGAACCGATCGGTATTATGTAATTACCGTGATATCTGCAAGGTGCAGTCGATTTTGCTAAATGATGGCGGCACGGAAGATCTGCACATCACATGGAAAATTTGAAGTGATTGTGAGTTGTGGTCTACTTGCCATAATACGCAAATATAAAACTCGGTGGTGCAGTTTTCTTGGGTTAGCACGAATGTGCCGACTATGCAAGAACATGTAATTAAGAATGTGCAAGAAAAGGTGGTTGAGTATGCGAAAGAAAATGATGCTTAAATTCAAGACAAGGTCATTTGCTTTAACACTTAAACTCGCATGTGAACAGGTTTCCAAAACTCAGCAATTTCAAATCCAAGCAAGTAACAGTGACAGTCTCCATTCGATTATGGGTCTCCCGCGGATGTTGGTCGTACAAAGAATACGACCCGCTATCCATGTGAAATAATACTTATCTTTCAAAGTTAGATTTCTACAATATGTATTTTTCAAACTGAACCAGCTGACTCAGTTAAGCTCGATAAAGGTAAATTGCGACGGGTCATTAAAATCACGAAGAGCAACTGCTACAAGCTCACCGAAATCGTGTGCTATATCCTATCCATGCTTTACTTTGACCTATGAAGAGCCACCATACCCGTAAGTGACATCCAAATGGCGTTCACAATGCTTGGTTTCTTCTTTTGGGCGAAAACAACAATCTTGATAATCTCTTCTCCTCTTCTTAGCATGATTGAATTGTAGCTCATGTGTGGATAAATAGTCATGATCCTGCGGTCTACCAAAAACCAAAGCTTCGTAACTTTGTTCGGTGGAACAAGGTAGTTTTTTTGCTCTGGTTGACGACGTGTCCGCTATCTAGCTTTGTGCGCGCCGGAGTTGTCCGTCTCAGCAGTAGACCCTTCTCTGCTGGTTGAGCTGGTAATTGTGCACTCTGATGATAGTTGTGAGCTGAGAAACATATTGACGTGTTTCCCACTACCACATATCCGCATTGTTTCTTCTCTCATGATCTTGCGTCTTTCTATGGACTTTGCATCACCATCGGCTACTACAACAATAAATGTGATTAGCAGCTACCTGGCGTGATCAGTATCATGCAAAAGTTTGGCGACAGCAACGGTCGAGTGCAACAAAGTTCCAGACCTTGATGAGCTACTTAACTTGTAACTCGCGCTTCGCCACCTGAACATGACATCTTATCTCCTCGAATGCTTGACGCGGTAGCCTCTTAGGGTAGAGTATATTTAAGCTGGTGCCTACTGGCACACCATCTACTATTACGCGTACTTTGCTGGTTTCATCCTTGATGAAGTGACATCTAAGTATAATGTGGTTTGCAACAGATGATACTAGCTTTTTTGCTTTATCATTCGTATAGCGCTTTAATTTTCAAGTATTATACTTGAGACAAATTCAAATATAAGCATCTCTTTAAGAAGTTGCTATTCAATCCACATTCAGACACGATTGTCGCTTCGGAGATGAACTCTGCTTCCATTATGGACGTCGCACAAACGGCTTGCCTTTTCTAGCTCCACTCTATTGGCCGCCCATTTACCGCGAGAAAGGCGCCGCTCGTTGGTTTTCGGTCGACTCGATCACCAGCCCAATCAGCATCAAACCGAATGCTGACCAAAAAGAATTTTACTGAAATAGCCTCACTTGCTGTTCAGTAGCCCAATCACGACCCGATGTTCCCTTTAAGTAGCGAAAAGTACGTTTGATCAGTTCATAATGGCACTTAAGAGGCTTCTCACGGTGGCTTGACTCAAAATGGTAGCATTTGCTGTGTCCGGGCGTGTAAAAATTTGTAAATCAAAGTAGCGTACCGAGAGCCTCACGTACAAGATGTAAGTTTACTAGCTCTTTACAATCAGTACCATTGTAATCTGTGCTGAGATCCAATGGAGTTGTGGCAGATCTGACTTGTTCATATTGAGCGCGCGGAGTGCGTCACAAATCGTGCTCGAGGTGACAAAAAATACTTTGCTGGGTCTCGCGCACTGTGATTGTAAGTAATTTATTCGCTGATCCGAGCTTCTTGATGCTGAAACTTTTCCAGCTTTAGTGTAACATCGCGCAGCTCCTCCTCGTCACGAAGCTATATCATCGCGTCTTTCACGTAAAGTCCTAGGACATCACCCGCTCGTTTCAACGCGCTTGTACTAAGTGCACGGATCGATTCTTGACTTGGTAAATCCAGATGCGATGATGTACTCGTTCATCGTCGCATTCCAGCAACGACCCGACTGTAACGGGGCACCCTGAAGCTTGTACTGGTGACAGTACAAGCTACTTATTCTGATAACAGAATAAGGCGGTGCCTCGTAACTTCACGTACACTCGTACGTGCAGAGGAAGACGGTAAGAAGAAGCGAGTACTCGGTTAGAGTAAAAAGTAGAACTGTATTTATAATAGTTAATGTCTGCAATAAATCACTATTTATCTTCATCTAACTATGTCTAAATACAAATGTGTAAATCAGTTATCTGCTCACCACTCATTGCGTGCGTCTGTCGTGGCGCGTCTTCGTTGGTTGATATAATGGCCTATATCAACCAATTAGGAACTACTTGGAAGTGCTACAGAATATTGTCCTTATGACAATATTCTGAGAATATAACTCTTATAGTTATATTCTATTAACAATTTCTTATAAATTGTTATGTAACGATTCACCCCGTTACATCACCCCCCCTTAACCATCAGTCACTTTAGTGACTGATTGACTAAATGGATACTCGTCCCAAATCATTTGGGACGGGGTTTGCACTTGTTGGTCCGCGTCCACTTTCCAACATCTCATCGCATGGTAAACAAGCCCATGCGATGCGCGAGCAAGGCCGCCGAGAGCGCGTCTGCACGTCTCTGTGCGGACGCCGAAGCAGAAACTACAGCAACTGATATCCCATCGGTTGCTGAATCGACTCAGCCTGTATCACCTGGTGATGCAGGCGCTGGTCATGAAGACACTCGTGTCTTCACAGAGTACGAGCTCGGTGTCTCGTACTCTCCTGATACGGATGACGGATCCGTATCGACGGCAATTGAATCCAAGCCGCCT